GATTTAGGACACTCTTAAGGTATCTGGTTACATCTGGTTGTTGTAGATGTTTAAGGGCCACCCTCTCAGTTCTTTACCTCAAGCTCTATGCCTGTTATTGCTGCCCTCACAGCCTCAAGGCTTAGTAGAAAATGACATGTACTGGGGTTTATTTCCAGATCTGTCTTTAAGAACAATGTGACCTTGAGTAAGTCATTCAAATTTTCTGTTAGCACACCTGGATACCTCCCAGGTAGATGTGGAATCCAGCAAAATGGTGTGTTAGTGTTGGAGTGGGGAAATATTGGGGGGGGCTTCTTCTCTGTAGCAGATGTTTGAGGTTAGACATCATCAGTGTCTTCATCATTGTCATTAGCACAGCAGGGCTCCTTTGTTTAAAGACAGGGTGTCACTATGTTGCTTAGGCTGGCCTCATCTGAAGACCTTCCTGCCTTAGCCTCCCAAATAGCTGAGATTACAGGCCTGCGCCCAGCTTTTGTTTGTTTTTGTTTATTTATTTATTTTAACATTATTCTTTGAACACCTTCACAGGACCTGATTTGGCTTTAGGTGCCTCTTCCTCAGAAGGTTTATACTGCTGTAAGGCGTGAGGGGAGAAAGGTTTCCAAACAACATAAATAAGAAATGCGGCAGGAGGCAGCCAAAATAAGATGCCTTTATAATCTTCACTTCAGTTCACTCCAGATAGAAGCAGCATAAAATAGTGTAAAGAAAGTCAGCTCTGGGACCAGCAGATGTCATAATGGTTATGTCGCTGGACTCCCATGTAGTTAACCACAGTTCAAATCCTATACCCGGCGGCTTAAAACTCATGCCAGGCACATGTGCATGTGTGCCTAAGATCCCAAGAGGAAAACAGAGGAGACTATCCACTCTGGGGGCTGATTTCTCGCTTTCTGTCTCTCTTTCTCTCTCCGACTCTCTGGTGATTGCACACACTCTATAGCAAAAATCTATTAAAAAAAAAAAAAAGAAAGAAAGAAAGAAAGAAAGAAAGAGAGAAAGAAAGAAAGTCACCTCTGAATTCAGAACTGGTTTTGATTCTCATTGAAAGGCTAAATGAGGGGAACATAAAGTGAAAGAAGTGAGCAATGAAAGGAAGAGACTGGAGTGGGTCTACTTAGAGGGTCTCAGCCGGGGGTTAAGCAGTAAAAACCTTCTCATCCAACTCAATCAACACCAGTGGTTTTGAGGTTATTTAAAAATGTATGTCTTTTAAGTTAAGGAATCAATAAAAATGATACATATATCCTGAAAACATTTTATTTCAATTCACAACATTAAGATGTACATTCATTTGCTAATCTTTTAATGTTCAGCACAATCTTATATGATGCATTATATATGATTTTTCAATTTCTGCTTTTTAAAAATGGAGCAAAAACTTAAAGATATTTGCAAAGTGGAGCCGGATGGTGGCATGGTAGTTAAGGTACTGTACTCCCACATGGCCAACTGCAGTTTGAGTCCTGAACCTGGCGACTTGCTTTTTTTCTTTCTCTCTCTCTCTCAAATTAAAATAAGTAAATAAATAAAATAAAATAAATTATTTATTTATTTTTTAAATAAATATTTGCTAAGCAAGATGAGTGTAGTATCCTTCTAGATGTTTTAAAAACATTCCCCACGCTCAGTCATTTCATCTATTCTCGGTTCAATGCTACCCTTCAGCTATCTTTCATCTTGGCTTTCACAACATTTTTGTTTAATATTTCCATACCAATTCCATTGGTTTTCATTTTGTTTAAATAAACTTATAATCACAATAAAGTACACACTGGTGTGAACAGGTGTGAGGACAAACACAGCTGATTTTTTAAGGTTTATTTATTTATTTCTACCATGAGAGGGACAGACATCCCCATCAGGGTCCTCATGCCACAATCCACCCCCAGTTTCAGCTGTCCCAGGAATCCAGGGCTGTCTCGTGTGGGTCCAGCAGCAGCACCACTGTGCCATTATGTGGCCTGCAACTTATTGTTGTTAAGCACAGAATTCAATCCCTCTGCTGTTGAAGCAGAAGTGCACAAGGTGCCATAGCCATTTACTAGACATGAGCATTCAGAAGGCTGTGGGCATCTGGAAGACAGAGTCAGTTAATCTACCAATTCGGTTAAGAGAGCATCTCCCGGGAACCAGCAGTTAGCGTAATGGCTATGTCGCTGGACTCCCACGTAGTCGACCACGGTTCACGTCCCGGGCCCAGTGGCTTAAAACTCACACCCGGCGCGTGTGCGTGCGTGCCCAAGATCCCGAGAGGAGAATGGAGAAGAAGGGATTGCGGCGTGACCATCCCCCCTGGGGGATGATTTCTCGCTTTCTGTCTCTATGTCTCTCTCTGTCTGTCTGGAGAGCGCACGCGCCCTAAAGTGAAAATCTCTCAAAAAAAAAAAAAAGAGCATCTCCCACAGCCATCCTTTGTGCAACAGGGATTCCCTACAAATCAGCTCAGTGCATTCCCTGGGCAGTTTGGCTGTAGGGCCAAAGACAGGGAGAGAGAACATGAGAAGGAGGAAGGTGATGTGCCTGTCATTCATTTTATAAAATACTACACCTACATTATCATAATAAGGTCCATCGTCTCAAATAGCACATTTGATGTTCGATGTTGGCTTGTTAATTTGACCAGAGAGAATCACAAAGAGAGGGAAAGTGAGAAAGCAAGCTGCCAGGTCCAGGACTCCAGCTGTGGTCGGCCATGTGGGCGTGCCCAGTGCCTTAATCACCACGCCACCTGCTGGTCCCCAAGTAGTCAAATTCTTAGAGACAGAAAGGAGAGTGGTAGTTGCCAAGGGCTGGAAAAGCGGGAGTGAGGAGCTGTAACAGGTACAGAGTTTCGATTTTATAAGATGAAAGAATTCTGGAGGATGGTGGTGATGATTGTACAACAGTGAGAATATAATTAGTGCCAGTGAACTGTGCTCTGTGAAAAAAAACTGTGCATTTAATCTGGTAAATCCATGTTATATGTATTTGACCACAATAAAGATAGGGCAAGAGGAAGGGCATGAGGTATGACCCCTATGCAAGAGGGTTGGGGGGAATGTTCTAGGGACCGGGGACTACAAGTGGCTGAGTGTGGTTGACAGAGTTGGGAGCAGCCATGGCAAGGACTATGAAGGGAAATGGTCTGAGAGTTGGAAATAGATGGTTTTCTAAGGTATCTAGAGATGGTCAGCAAGAAAGAGGGATAGAGGACCAAGTGGAAGGAACCGATATCTACAAGGGGACTTTCAAAATTTTGTGGAAAGTGGAATCAAAGTATGAGTTTATTTTGGTACAAAAAAATTTTAAATCCATGCATGATTTTTTCAGAATACATATTCTCTGTGTATTTTTTTGAAGACTCTGTGTATATGGTTTTGCTAATGGAAAACATGTTGTGATGAGAGGTACAGCATGCTCTATTTGGGAGCTTCAGTTGAAGCAGGAGGCAGTTGGGAGCCCCCAGGTGCCCCGAGACTCTCTTGGTTCTTTTCCAGCAGGTCGCCGCTGGCACAGAGCAAGCCTTCCCAGAGAGCGTCCGAGCCCGGATGGCCCCGCATCTACCATACCCTCCGGTGTCATGAAGTTGCCTGCGTGTCAGCTCTCAGAGAGAAGCCAGATTTGTCTATTATTGGCTCGGACTTGTTTAATTTAAATTTTCCTACACAGGAAAATGAAGGAAATGAAGCTGTCCAGAAGGAGCTTTGATCCCGTAGCAGTTTCCTTATCTGAGTTCAAAAAAGACCCAGCTGCTATTTTCTTTCCTTGGCAAATTCTTCCCTTTGCAATCAAAAGGTCTTACTGAGCTTAAGTTTCGCCCCACAGGAGCAAAGAAGAACAAAACAAGAAATTGTTTGAGCCAATGTCGGTTTCTTCCCAAAGCAATTAGAGCTTGAATATAAGTGAATGAAACAGATTTGAGGTTTTCTTCCCTGGAGGCCATTATTTCAACTGGGTGAGAGAGGCATAGGACTGGGGGCTGCAGCCCATGGCTTCTAAAGCATCTCTCCACACCCCCAAGTACCTGCCTACATCTGCGTACAGGTGGGCCGAGCACAGAGGGAGAGAAAATTGAGGCTGGTGGTAAAAAATAGCCACAGTTTTGAAAATTTACTGTGTGGCAGATAGATCTTATTTAGTAGCTTAGAAGTATTCCCTCATTTATCCCTAGTAATGCTTCTATGAATAGATAGTATTACCCTCCCATTTTACTAACTAGGAAATTGAGGTTCGAAGAAGTGAAGTTAACTGCAGGGCCCATGCTCTTAATTACCAGCAGCACTGACAGAGTACAGGATAATCAGTTCTTCGAATAAAATAAGGTCAATTGTCCTCTCTTTTCCAAGGATGGTTGTAGTCATTTTATAAAAATCTTCCTTCTTTTCTTCATCAGAGAGAGAAAAAAGACCAGCACCCTCCTATGCCACAACCCTCCCCCGAGCCTTCCCATCTAGGCAGGATCATGGACATGGGCATGCACGGAACATACAATTTTGGAAAAGAAATCCCCATGTCCCACGCGGCTTCCATATGACTGTAGCATCACAGAACATTGTACTACCACTGCATCACCATGGCTGGACCTACAGTACTGAAACCAGCAAACAAGCTCACAGATGGCAGCAATCGTAGTAATGCACAGCTGAGGCCAGCAGGTAGCATGGTAGTTAAGGCGCTGGATCCCACATGATCAATTGGGCAGTTTGAGTCCTGGACCCAGTAGCTTGAAAAATATGCTAAACATATGTACATGCAAGCCCAAAAATCCAAGAAGAGAATGGAGGAGAAGAGATTGTGGTGTGGCCATCTGCCCTGGGGTGGGGGTGACTTCTCACTTTCCCTCTCTCTCTGTCTCTCTCTGGCAAGTACATGTACTTTATGACAAAAATCTTTTTAAAAAAGGAAAGGTAAGAATGCACAGTTGCCAGTTACTGAACACGTACTACACTGATATCATCACTGACACCATTTAATTCTCACAACCATCTAGAGAGGATGCATTCCATTTTACAGAGGTTAAAAACTGATCCTCAGTGAGGTTAAGTATTTTTCCCAGTTGCAGAGTTAAAAAAAAAAATTAAAAATTGAAACCTTAGGTTGGACCTAACACAGAGTTCTAAATCTCTACCTCTAATTCAAAGTCAGTTTCACAAATGGAGACCTTGACGTGCAGGAAGCCAGAGATGCAAACCTAGGAGTATCTTGTCCCTGCCCCAAGTCTGGCACTCTTCAGTAGCTACTTCTCACTCTTTTTTTTTTAATTTAAATTTATTTATTTACATTCATTAACTGTACATCATTACAGCATACAAAATGAGATTGTTCTTTCATAAAACACTGTATATTGCTCAGTCAAGCACATCAACATACGTGTTATTGTCGACAAATAATTTTTCCTTTCTTGTTTCCTATATATTTTGCTTTCCTCCCTCCCCCCTTGATGTCCTATCTCTCACCCTTTGCCATTTCCCACTCTCTTCCCACACTGTCTCTGGTATACATGGTTGCTTTCTATGCCTTTTTTCTCCCTTTTTATTGATTCACTAAAGATCTTAATTAAGCTAAATATTTTCAGTAGCAAGCACAGCTGATATATACATAGCCATGAACACAAGTCTGACTTTAGGCATAAACCTTAGTGAATAGAATGAACATACTATAAAGTAGCACCTAGCTGGGGCTGTATAGCTCATTACAGTCATTAAATGGGTTTTTTTAGAGCTTTTTTTGTTTGTTTTTTGTTTGTTTGTTTGTTGCTATAGGGTGCGTGCATTCACCAGAAAGACACAGAGAGACAGAGAGACAGAAAGTGAGAAATCACTCCCCACAAGGGGGATGGCCACACCACAGTCCCTTCTCCTCCATTCTCCTCTCGGGATCTTGGGCACACACATACACATGCCCAGTGTGAGTTTAAGCCACCAGGTCCAGAACTCAAAATGTGGTCGACTACATGGGAGTCCAGCAACATAGCCATTACACCAACTGCTAGTCCCTAAATAGGTATTTTTTAATGATTTTTTTTAATTTCAAGAAAAACAGTTTAAGTTTTAATAGATCAAAATTTTAAAAATGTTAGAAATTTGCTTAAGACTTAAAGCCAGGAAAAAGGCTAAGATCCACTTCAGACAGTAGGTAGATAAACCTATCAGTAGTTGAAGAAAAGACAAAAATCCTTAAAACTGGACAACAAAGCATAGAAGAAAATCAATAAATTTTTAGTCAAAAGTCATATAATTAATCTCTCTTCTACTGAATTTACAATGTTACTGTGGTGTGATCTTTCCGTTTAAATTCTGGAAGTTAACATTCCAAGTTATTATTGAGCTTTCCTGTCTTGTCGCTGCCATTAAGTTGGCCATTCTCTTGGTTACTTTTTGTACTCTTATTTCTGGGTGTCTGAATTTAGTTTTCCTGGTATAGCACTCCCTTCAGTACTTCTTAGAGAGCTGGTCTGGTGTTGGTAAATTCTTCATTTTTGTTTATCTGAGAATGTTTTTGTCTTTTCTTCCCATATGAATGATAATCTTGCTGGGTATAATATTCTTGTTTGAAATTGTTTTTCACCTAACACTTTGAATAAATTTTCCCATTCTTTACTTGCTTACGTTGTTTCCAATGAGAAGTAAGATGTTAGCCTGATGGGATATCCTTTGAAAGTAACTTGACATTTCTCTCTTACCAATTTTAGTATCTTGTCTCTGTGGTTTTGGCCAATCTGGCTATGATGGACCTTGGAAAAGATCTTGGGTTGATTCTATGTGGGGTCCTTAGCATTTCTTGGATCTGGATATTTAAATGACTCTCTAGGTTTAGAAAGTGTCTTTCCAGTATTTCATGGAATAGATTATCAAAGCCCTTATTATTTTCTTCATTTTCTGGGATACCTATTATCCAGATGTTGGTGCATTTAATGGTATCTAGTATTACTTGTTTATTATTCTCATTTATAGGGGTTATTTTCTCAGTCTTTTTGGTGAAATTTTCCAGGTTAGAGGTCTGTCTTCTACATCTGAGATTCAATCTTCTGCAAGATCTAATCTGCTTTCAATACTTTCAAGGGAGGTTTTGATTTTCTGTATTACAGCCTTCATCTCTAACAATTCTGTTTGATTCTTTTTTATGGTGTGTAATTCCTCATTCAGATTCTGCAAGAGCTTCCTCACTTCCTGGAACTCATGGTCTCTTTTCTCCTGTATCTTCTGGAGTTCATTGGCTCTCTTCTCTTGTATCTCTGTTAGCTTTGTCACTATGAATATTTTAAATTCCTTATCTGACATTTCCACGAATTCCCTTGTATTGTCTGTGGAGGGTGAGGAGTTATTCTTTTCCCTTGGAGGAGAGACATTTTCTTTGTTTCTCATATTTCTTGTGCTTCTGTGGTGGTTTCTGGTCATCTGATGAATTATATGGTTTTTTTTTTTCTTATTTTTGCAGATAAATCTGAGAGTTCAGAGGCATGCAGGAGGAGGCGATCTGCACTAAGCAGTACTGTTTTTCTCCCTTTGCATAGCAGATTCCATAGAATATCAGGATTACTCTGATCCCAGCTAGATCTGGGGGACAGGAGAGTGAAGTCCGGGCAGAAAGCCTTTAATTGTCATTATCCCTTAAAGGGGCCACCCAGAACTCAAATGTATGTGGCTGGTGATTGACTTGTCCTGGCTAGATCTTGCTACTTCCCACTCTTTGGTCCCATGACCAGTACCTTTCTTAGACCCAAGTAAGAGCTGTCTTACCTCTCCAAGGAGTCTTGTCCACCCAACTGCACCCCTTTCTAGACTGCACACCAGGGCCTAGAATTCCCATGCCGAAATGACCCCAAGTCCAAGTCCAGAGACCAAGCAGACACTGCCCAGATCCATACATCCAAGGAAGAACCACATGGTCTAAGGCTCAGAAATGTGGCTAAGGGGGGTGGATGTTTGCTGCAGTGCACACAGATATTGAACATGCTAGCTGGGGTCAAGGTGTTCCTGCATATATACATTAAGGCCTCTGTGATACAGAAAGAAGCTGGGATGGAGGGAGGAGGACAGTGAAGGGGGAGCTATGAGCTACAGGCTGCTTTCCCTGCATTGCCACATTGCCCACAGAACCATGACAACTCCAAGAATTGAACATCCAAACTGACCTTCCAGGGCCTAATGGAGTAGCTCAGTTAAGAGGAGAGAACATTCAGCATCTGTTAAATATTGATCAGTTTGTTAAGTCGATATTAACTTTTAAATACGGGGCTTCCATTAGTATTGGGTCTTACTGTGAGCTTCAAAAATTAGAGGTGAGCCTGCCTTTGACTTCTCTTTCACTGCTCAGACTTCTCTAATCCCCCACGACAAGGCTTTCAAGGTTTCAATGACTTCAATTCTTGGTAGACCGCCCCTTCCAAAGAATGCTCCATTCTTACCCAACTGTCATTGACTTTCTACATGGGCCTGTATCTCTAGCAGTCCTGGATGAGATGCTACCCTGCTTTCTGGTTAAGTTGCATGACTGTCCCCAGGAATTTTTCTGACCCAACCAGCTGGGGACCCAGTCCTTGGCACCTCTAGCTGGGTGTTCCTGGAGAATGTGTATATCCACAAGGGCTCATTGTTACTCACGAGGAAACCCAAGCCAAGTAAGTTTAGGTAAAATGAGAAATTTATTGGCTCATAGAACTGTGGGGGAAAACTATCTGAAGGGACTTACAAACCCCATCAGAATGG